TTTTCAAATGACATAGGCTTCCAGCTGGAGATGAACTTGCCTGTTTGCATTTTATAGATGAAACAAATAAGGCACAGAAAAGGAGTTAAATGACTTACTAAAGTTATATAATTAGTAAAGACTTAAAACAAAATTTCTAAGCTCTTAGAAACCTTTCATATCTAAATATTTAAAAATATATTGAGACTATCATGAGATAGTCTCAATTAAGGTTTTCAGTTAGTTGATCTTGTAAAAGAGAAGATGATCACTAGAATTTCATTTTATGAGATTATGTATAACTCTAACATCCAAATTTATCAAAATTACCTGACATTCACTCTAATTACGTATTAAGAAACTAGTGGTAGGAAAGAAAGAAATCCTGTTTTTAGAGAGTTAATTGCTTTTCTTCATCCAGCTCTGTGTTGTTTTAAAATCTGTATTTGTCGAGTTTTGAAAAATGCTTGTAACGTAGTTAAGCACATTTGACTGCCTTTGAAATATATTCCCTTCCATTGGTCTTTACTCGATTAATTGACATTAAGCAAGTAGCTGTAGCTCTTGAGACCAGCAGCATTCTTTTGTGCCAAAGTTTTGAATACATGGCTAAAAGGGAATTTGCTGTTTTCCTTTGTGTGTGTGTGTGTGTGTGTGTGTAAATTTTTTGAGTATAGTTGACACAATGTTATATTAGTTTCAGGTTTACAACATATGATTCAGCATTTCTATAGGTTATGCTGTGCTCACCACAAGTGTAGCTGCCATCTGTTACTGTACAAGCTATTAAAATACCATTGACTACATTCTCTAGGCTGTACCTTTTTAAATATTTTTAAACTGAATATTCTACATACTGTTCAGGAAATCTTGACTAGTGTATGTTTAGATTCTCCTCTACCTTTAAATAGAGATATGTTTTGGTTATTATGAGGTAATAAACTTAAGTAGTCTTGAGTTGTGCGCCTGTATTTCCTGGTTTGGAAAAGCAAATTTAACTTTAAATTGGGACTAATATGGAACTAATAAAAATTGATCAATTTAAAATGATAAAATGGTTAATACACTTGGCAATAGAGCAGAATTAACAAAATGTCTTTACAAGTTGAAGTAATAGTCTTAAGTTAGTGGTCATCACACATGTCTTGTAGATCAGATAATAAATATTTTTAACTTTTTTTAAAAAATTGAGGTATAATTAACACAGCAGCATTCTGTTAATTTCAGGTGTACAACATAATAATTTGATATGTTTGTATTGCAAAAATGAAATATTTTTAACTTTGCCAACCACCATAGTCTTTTTGTCACAACTACTCAGCCCTTCTGTTGCAGCACAGAAGCAGCCACAGACAGTACATAAGTGAGTGGGTATGTCCATGTTCCAATAAAACTTTATTTACAAAAAAGGCAATGGTTTGGATTTGGCCATGGGCCATTGTTTGCTGACCCGTAGTCTAAATCAGAGAGTTGAGATTTAGTAGGATTATATTTCAAGTCTTTTTAAATAGTCACCTTTATAATCACAAGATGAGTAAGACCTGGTTTAATAGGAATTTCGTTGAATATATTAATCATGAATGTTTTGGACATGAATGTTCCAAAAGCCAAATTCTTAGGATACATTAGCTGAACTGTAACCTAATATATACCAATCTGATCATATCCATTTTTACTACGCTAGTTATCTATGTCTAATTTTGAGTACCACATTTTAAGATCCTGCAGATAGCAATGTCTTCAAGAGGAGAATATCAGGAGGCAAAATTATCTAGGAAGTGCACCTATAATGTGAAACAGTTGAAAGCATTGTTTCTAAGTTGAGAAGATTGCAGGGGAACTAAGTAGCTGTCTTCAAATTTTTATCATTTAGAAGTAGGATTAGAGTATGAAACTTAGGAGTTCCAAAAAATCCTACAGTACATACAGAAGGGGGAGTTTAGCTCTTTGTATGAATTAAGATTCTTGAGAGTGGAATGGACATTGATTGTTAATGATTAAGTACTCAGCAGTAAGCATTATTATATGAGAGAATATATACATTGGGGAGGGGAAGTTGGGAATGACCAGGATTCATTTACAAAAGGACTTGGAAAATACAAACAATTAATTTGGTTCAGTACTCTTACCAGCTCTTTGTCTAAGTGGAACTAGAAGCATGAGGAAAAGAGAGCTTTCATTCTTCTAACTTTGAGGGTGTCAGGCTTTTGTCATGAACCGTCTAAAAGTCCTCTACACCACACAAACTCTAACCTATTGTCACTCTGAGTACAAAGAAATTAATGTTACTGAAGCTAATAAATAATTGACAAATTAATATGTTAACTGACTAAATTATTACACTGTTTTCCCTCCTAATGGTTTTCTAGTAATCACTCAGTTTTCTTGAATGGTTATTTAGCCAAAAGTAATACGAGGATAGTAATTTAGTATTACTTATTCTGTATGTTTTGGGGTTTTTTGGAAACTGGATAGGTCAGTGAGCTTGTAACTGTGATTCTGCTGCAGGATTAAAATGGAGGAGAATGGACTTGAGTTTACTTAATATAGTTTTGTAAAGGGAAAAAAAGGTTGCCTATTTTAATTTTTTGAATGGTGCTATGGATCAGTACTTCAGGTGTCTTCCTTATTTATAATTCATTAATTCAGAATAATTTGGAGAAGTTATCTTTCTCAGGGGAAAAGGGAGTTCCAAAATATCTTAAGTGTCCTAAGAACTGTTTTAAGAAAAAAGATAACATGGGGTAATGAAAATCTTTCACATATACTAGAAAATTGCATATAACTTTAGAACTATCAGGCAGAATGAAGGAACAATTAAATTCATAAAGCAGTTGTTTGGAAAACTAGTAATGTTTTGATGACTGTTCTTCCACAGTCCTTTCCACTGTTTACAAAGGAAGTGAATATTTTGAACTCAAAATAATCAAATACCACAGAACTGCAAACAGTTCTCTAAGTCTTAATTAATGGGTCTTTGCTCACCTATTTCCCTGTTTAAAAAAAAATATCCAGTTGACCTTTAAAGTATGTAAATACTCTTTTAAACAGTCTAGGTTTGGCCCCATAAATTACATGCTTATTTTCTGTAGGTGAGTAGGATGAGATTGACCTCCCAGGATATGTGTATTTTCAGATCAGTTTGGGTTGTTATCTGATTTACTGATTGGCTCTGTAGCTTTGCCCACTACGTATTTTGGAAAATGGTGTTTTGCAATGGTTGGTGCTTAGTTGATATTTGAACAAATGAAACATCTAATAAATACGAAAATTCAGGGATCTTTACTGGATAGATTGATTGAAACTATGGACGTCTCTCTAGTCAAATTGTCAGTTTGGTCCTATGATGAGGCACATGGTTGGCCACTGACTTACCTGTTCTTACTGATGTAAGAATTAACAGTATTTGTACAAATAGTTGGTTTTGCTATACTATAGATTTAACTGGCATTGCATTTTAAAATTCAGTTAAATGTTGGAAATAGTGCACTCACCATGGTATTTCAACTGTTCTTTCCATAGTTGTGGCAATATATGATTATACAAAAGACAAGGATGATGAGCTATCATTTATGGAGGGTGCAATCATTTACGTAATAAAGAAGAATGACGATGGCTGGTATGAAGGAGTCTGCAATCGAGTGACTGGTCTGTTCCCTGGGAACTATGTTGAATCAATCATGCACTATACTGATTAAACTTTTTTGCTTTTAAAGTAGGTTCTTATTACTCAGTCATACTGTGGGACTATTATGGTTAACAGAGTTGTCTTAAAATGTTTTAAAACTTGCCCATTCTTTCAGGACATGCTGTTTTATTGGTATAATTGAATGTCTACCTGTAAGCATACATCTTCGAGGCAGTTTGTGTATTGCTAAACGGCAATTTATACGAGAGGCTGTCCATAACTGATTATGCTTATGTACTTACTTACACAGTTAACTTTATGACCAGCCTAAGTATTCTGGGGGTTTGGGGTATAATATTTAACAAATCATGATTCAGATTGTACCATTACATGTTTCAGTGCAGCATGGTTACTAACGCTATGTCATACTAATATTAAAATCAGAAAATTTCAATCCTGGTGCTGGTCATACTTTTTGTTTAGACTTTCTCATTCTTGAAATATACTATTTGTTTAAAGCATGCATACAAATTTATGTATTGAAATACACGTAAAAAATCCAAGATGCTTCCAATTTGTGTAATATTTACTTGGAGTACTTGTACTTAGGTCTCTTGAAATGAATTGAGTCTCTAAGGTCTCCATGTGAAACAAAACAAAGGGTTATCTCTAATGTAATTTGTACCTAAGTTTTTTAATGAGTGAATTTGCATTATAAATTTTTTCCATTCATAAATATATAAGTGAACCAAAGGTTTTTGTCCTTTCATTCACTGGTTTGCTTTTAAAATAAATAAATAAATGAATAAATAAATGAATAAATAAAAGATACTGATTTATTGCAGAATTATGGTTCTATTTTCTCAATATATTAACTTGGAAAAAAATATTAGCCTTATCTCAACCTGTCCCAATGGCAGTGACTGATTTTTGCAGATTTAAAATCTGAGATGGGTATTTACAAGTCAATCTACTGAATTCCTTTTCTAAAGTAACTTTTTCAGAGCTAAGAAAATGTGTTAAAGTGTGCACATTCTGTTAAGTAAAATTCTTAAGGACTGCCGTATTAGTCCTTCGGTTTTCCAGTGGATTGTTGTATACTGGGTTCAATGAAAGGAAATTATAAGTATCTTTTACATGTTGTTTTTGTAGAAGTGGGTGCAATTGACTTTTGAATAGGCGCTATTTAATCCATTACCTGGCACTAGCAACATAAAAGGTTTTAAAAAGAAAATAATTTGAAAAAAGGTGGATCATGTATTAATCAGCGAACAGGGAATATACCTGACCAACAGATTTATACTGTCTTTTGAAATAATTGAAATGCAACACATGCACTTTGTGTGTCTCGTCTTAATTTAAGGGAAGGTTGGAGGGATGTTTTTTCTTATCTTGTGTGTAATTCTGTATTGCCTAGGATATTAAAGTAGAGCACTCAAGTATGGGTTTCTGTGTATTGAGGATTTGTTTGGATTTCAAATTACAGTTATGTACTGGGCGTTACAGACTTATAACAGCATAGTAAAATGATAAGACTAGTGCAAAACATTTATTTCTGAAAATTAAAGGCCATATTGCTACCAAATCAATGTGACTGTTGTATATGCATTTTGCCTTTGTTAATTTTAAACATGATTTCAGTATCACTAGTGATCAGCTAGCTACCTTTTTCATTTTTTCCAAGTGGAATGTTCTCTTAATTTTGTATATAACCTGTTGTCTAAATTTTGTGTACAGTCTTTTATAATAAACCATTCTCCTATATGAAATTTTGGATACTGTTAAAATCTAATGTGGATTGAAATGTAGACTTCACAATTTTTGTGACCTTTACTCCTATGGTGAAACACGATAAACCATTTGCATTTTAACATTGATTATTTATTTGTGTAATGGCTTTACATGTGGATCTTAACAGTGTAAACAATACCACATATAACCATCAAGATACCTCGATTAGAATTTACAGGACTAGAGTGACAGATTCGGATGGTTTAATTACATTTAAAAAGTTTTCTGAAAAACTTTGTCAATAAAAAAAAATTGCCCATCAATAAGGTTGAAATGATTCTTTGAAATGATTTTTGGTTATCCGCACATGAAGCAAAATATATTTCACAAAATTCTTTAGGCACAGTCTGGTAAAATAGCTGCCAGAAATAACAGAAAGAGTTGTCATTTATCTCTTGTGAGTACAATTTCTGAAAGCTGTATGAGGGCGTCTCTTTCAGGGGACGGTCGAAGTTTACTGATCTCTCTTACTGCTTCATGGCAGTACCGCTGTGCGAGGTAGGTGGTTTGCTGTACACCGTCACTCTTGGGGGTGGGGGGGGGGAGAGAGACAGAACAAGAGAGGACAGACACATCACTCACTGATCAGCTCTTAAATTCCTGCTATGATAGTTAAAAAATATTTTTATCGAGATCAGGTTAATAAATAGCCAGACTAAGTCTCAAGTGCTCTCTCTCCAACTCATCACTCCAGCTTCCTCTGCCTACTGTGTTGAGGCACTTTTTCTCAGACTGAAGCACATTTTTATTCTATCAGCATGCAGGGCAACTAACTCATTAATATTAAATAGCCACCTACTTTCCCTTATTTTTAAGTATTAAACTTTTAAGTAAAAAACAAAGTTAAGAACATATACATAATAAAAGAGCGCATATGATGGAAATCAACAGTTCTCTTCTTCCAAAGACACCAGCTTTATCTGCTGATTTTAATGTCTTAATTAGCAACTTTAGTTATCTATTGCCTTTCTGCTGAGAAAGGTGAGGATTTAGCCCATCCACCCTACACCTCCTGATTTGATAATCCTATTACCATCTTTAGTTCTTCTGTTAGTTACTTTTGTCATTATGTAGCACCAACTACTTAATCTCAAGGATACCAGTGTTCTTTCTTTAACACTATAGAGATATGCATTCTCTTCTGGAGCCATGTTTTTATGTTGGTTCTAAAGCTGAACACTAATAAAGCACTGTTTCCATGATGTAAAGATACGTTTACTACAGAATCAAGTCATGTACTGTCACTTCATTTCCTTCCCCATCGTTCCAAGCTCACGAGCCCGCTGTCATTCAGAACAGAATTTTCCTAACGTCACTCGGAAAGGCCTCTGATTTATTTTTTATTTTTTATTTTTTTAGATTTTTTTTTTTAAATTTATTCATCTGACAGAGATACAGAGGGAGAGAGCACGAGCTGGGGAGAGGGGGAAAGGGAGAGGGAGAAGCGGGCTCCCCACTGAGCCAGGAGCCCAATGTGGGACTCGATCCCAGGACCCCAGGATCATGACCTGAGCCGAAGGCAGACGCCAACCATCTGAGCCACCCAGGCGCCCAGGCCTCTGATTTTTTTGTACTTTACCGATTGACACAAAATGGGATGCATTTTAGTTTGCTCTGCCTTAGTGTACAGAAGCCTACTTTTGAATGTAACTGTCTGATCCATAATCTTTCCACTGCCTTCATCATTCTGTTTGCTGCTTAGACTGACCGCCTTCCAGCTCTACCAGATAGCTGCCATCCCCAGCAGGTTTCCATCAAACTCTAGTTCATTCCACTGGTTTGAGTGCCCACAGCTTTCTCTTTTGTGGTGTTTCCATGTTGTTACCGAAATCCATCCACAGATAACTCACTCAGAGAATGGGTACTGGAAATCAACTTTGTAATATAAGTGTGATGATGACTTCTGCCTTCATATGTAATGAATGGTTTGAATGGATATAGAGAATTGTAGGTTTAAAATGTTTCATCATTTGGAAGGCCTTGCCTACTGCCTTCTAGCATCCAGGGTTTTTGCTATACACTGAGCCTCCTGACCACTCTTTAATTTCTTTTTGGATTCTCTTCCTGAAACACCTGTTACCTCATCATATTTGATCCTCTCAAAGCTTTTCATTTTCTTTCCTTGCTGTTTACGTTTTTGAAGATTTGCTCATTTCACGTTGTAACCCTCCTTTGGATCTAGTTTTTCACAATCATTTAGACTTTCTTAAGAGCTTGTACTTTTTTTTTTTTTTTAATATCCTGTTCTTGTTATAGGGAAACAGTATTTTTCCACCCCCATTAATATTTTTCCCTGAATATTCCTGTTTATCTTTTTCCCTGAATATTTCTGTTTATCTTGGTCTCACTCAGCAAGCTTTAACCGTTTAGTAATCCCACTAAGTAAATCCTAATCCATTCATATTTAATAAAGGAATAGGGATTAGGAAGGAGCTCTGGGTGAAGGGTGCTAGGATTTAGAGGTCTTTGGAGAATTTAAGAGAGCGTTCTTGTACCTTTCTAAATGCATTTCTGCCTAGGCTTGCTGGATCTTCGTCACTGTTTTGTTAAGAGCAACAGTTAATTTTCCCTCTTTTCAGTCCCACTTCTCACTTCAGCCTTCAGTAATACTATTTCTGACACCAGAACCTCTCCCAGGTACATTGACCTCTTTATCAGTTACAGCCCGTTCTCATACTGAGTTTTTACTAGTACTGCCAGACTACCCTCCAAAGAGGTGGTGATGCTTAACAATATAGAGAGTTAAGGGAAATACATCCTTTGGAGGGGGTCTTGCTTTTTGGAAGTCTGAAAGGTAATTATTTGGAATTCTTTTAAGTACTGCATTAACCATAGACCACACATGAGCTCACTAAAAACTGCTCACCCCATCTCATTCATTAGATCTACTGGCTCCAAACGACTTTGGGTTTGGATTTTGGAAACAGCTCATTCTCAAAAGATAGTTATCGAAAGTGAAAATATGTAAAAAAGATCTGGCTTCTACAGAAAAGTTCTGAGGATGCGTGGCAGTGTATCTGAAATAAGCTCACAGCCCCTGAAGGTGAAACAGTCTGCCTCTGTGGGTTCTGTTCTTGAGGGACTAGGGACGGCCAGTACTGAGGTGACAGCTGCGAGCACCCGATAACCTGGGGGTGGCGAAAGTGAGGGCCTGCACCAGGAGGTGCGTCTGGGAGCCTGGAGGACAGCAAGGCTGCCAGTGGATTTGGGGAAGACTGGTTTCAAACCAGGGGGACTCAGCCCACACTGCACATTAGAATCACTTGGGTAGCTTTAAAAAAAATCCTAGTGTCCAAAACCTTACCCAAGGCCACTTAAATTAGTCTTTAGAAAGAATTCTAGAAGATAGAGGGGAGGGGGGTGGGGGGATGGGTTGGCCTGGTGATGGGTATTAAGGAGGGCACGTTCTGCGTGCAGCACTGGGTGTTATGCACAAACAACGAATCATGGAACACTGCATCAAAAACTAATGATGTACAGTGATTAACAAAAAAATTTTAAAAATTCTAGAAGAAAAAAGAGTTACAAGTTTCTCTCTCAGTTTTTGTCAAGTCAAGAATTGACCACACTTGGTTTTGTATCTAAAATTTGTTACATTATTTGGTTAAAGAACTCTGCCACGTGTTGTACCTGCTCCTGCCTTATTTCTTTGTAAAATAATCATACCTGTAATACGTATTGTCGAGCTCTGTCCACATCTCCAGGCAAACTGAACCGTCTCATTATCATAGCATTCATTTCTGGGAACTAACCATAAAGAAAGAAAATATTTATTTATTGCTCTTGTGAAAATCAAATGTTCTAACGCTAAGTTTGTAACAATAGGAAAAGACAAAAAGGTGATTAAATGTTTAGATGGTGGCGGGGGCAATAAATTGTAGCAATTAAAGAAGCAGAGCTAAGAGAGACATCCATTTTCCATGCCCAGGGACTGAGCTCGTGCTCAGGAGAGGCAGCTGTTGATCCTTGTTCATTCTGGTGTTCTTTCTATTCTATTCTTGGGTCCAACACTGAGTGAGAAAGAGCGAAGGAACAAACTACATCCCTAAAATCTCCTTGTTGGCTTCTCTTACAGTTCTCAAACTTTAGATTGCACCAGAATCACCAGAGGCCTATTGGGCCACTCCTTCCTTGATCAGTAGGACTGGGGCCTCAGCATGCATTTCCAACAGATTCCCAGATGATACGGATTCTGCTGGTCTCTGCTGACATTTTGAGAAGCAGTAGCCTAGGATGAGGGTGGGAATTAGGCATTCTACTTTTAGTGCTAACCTGAGTGACACCTGAAAGCTACTGAGGTATCTGAGCAGAGGGTATTATGAGCAGAGTTCTACCTCAGCAGCTCGTCAAGTGGATCAGAGCAGGGAGTGCTCAGTGTTGACTGCACGCTGGAGTCAGTCGGGAAGCTTATGGTTGCCTGGATCTGCTCCCAAAGATTCTGATTATGTTGGCTGGGGTGGGGTCTGTTCTGGGCATCAAGATTTTGAAAGCACTCCCGGTATTTTTAATGTGCAGCCAAGTTTGAGAACCACTGAATTACAGGAGGTAGGCCAGTCACGTTACTGTAGTTAATTTTAAAGACGACCAAAGTTAAGCTGTGGCACTGAGAGAAAAAAAGAGAATAGGTACATTGAAGATAAAAATCTATATTCTGCAACATGTAGCAACAATTCAGGAGAACTGTCACCATTAACAAAATCAGGAAGTCAGGACACCAGATCACTTCATTTTCTAGACCGGAGCTCTAGTCCTGGTGCCTCCGTAGTCGAGTGAGCTCCATGACCTGTGCGTCCAAGCCTCCCCCTTCAGTGTCGTGAGGGAGCTTAACCAAATGAGCTGAGACCCATGAGCTCTAGCAGCTTCTGGTTCCCTGACTTAAGAGTTAAGCTAGCTTTGGTCCTGGACACATCAGTGCTTACGGCAGTTGCCAGCTTTTCCCTGGCAGTGAGCCTGAAGTTGTCCTTTAACCACCACCACGGTATTAGTAATCCTAGAAGAAAAAATAGGGCACACATAGAAAAACCTCAACCGGATGATGACAGGTGAAGAATTAAGAATGTTCCTTTCAGAGCAAAGTGTGCGTTGGAAAAAGTTCTAAACATGTAGAGGCTGCTCACATGCTTATAAAATGTAAAGGCCAGCAAATGGTTAGTTCTTAAAAGAAAACCGGTAATTTGTTTTAGTTACTGGCCTTTAAGAATAGAACAATTTAAGTTTCACAGGAAACATCAGGAATCAAATCAATCAATTTTAGGGGTAGAAAAGCCAAATCAAGTAAGCATTTGTCTTAAAACCGCATTCCAAAATTGCACTTCTGGAAGGCTGTATCCTCAGAGCTGACAGGACACTGTCCCGGGCATCTAGTAAAATTACCTTGTTTATGGTACGTGAGCTTTTTCTGCAGTACCAACAAGGGTGGTAAAATGTGCTGTGTGTGCTGACTCCTTTTACTATAAAAAGCATCGAGACAGCAAAGTTTGAAGAAAATATTTGCAACGAGTGTGGCTACATCCTTCCTTTAAACATGTGGTGTGTGCAGTTTTAATATGCAAATACTGAACTGTTCCCCTAGGCATCCCCAGCCCCTTAACTGTGTACGTGGAGGAGAAATGAGAAGCGTGACGGGAACAACAGTTGCCTGCTTGCAGGCTTCTTGAGAAATAAGGAAATTTTTGTTTGTCCAGGCTGTTTTAGTTGGAGGGCCTACAGGGAGACCTTTCAAGAGTAGGACGAATCAGGGGCATCTGGGTGGCTCAGTCGGTGGAGTGTCTGACTCTTGGTTTCAGCTCAGGTCATGATCTTGGGGTGGTGGGATCGAGCCCCGTGTTCGGCTCCACGCTCAGCGAGGAGTCTGCCCCTCCCCCACTGCTTTCTCTCTTTCTCTAAAATAAATCTTTAGGGGGGGGAAAAAAAGTGTAGGACAAACCATATTCTAACTGTGAAATGTATCCATAAAACTAAACTACAAAGGTGATGAGTAAATGTAGTGAGCTAACGCAAACAAAACCTGGGTAGCTAGGGGACCAGCTAGTCACACTAACAGAAGCCCATACAGCTGGTGCGGGGGCTGGGGCTGCTGAGGGTGGCTGGAAGTGCGGCTAAGGATGACATTTAGGTCTGGTGACTTATCAAATAAGAGAAGCAGAAGAAAGGAAATGATCTTTTAAAAGATTGAGAACTAATGTAATCTTATGGAAAAAAAAAAACCCAAAAAACACTTCTATTTTGTTTCTGAAGAGCTCAAGATCCAACTTACATGCTCTTTTAAAAGATCTGACATGACGTTTTTGTTCTTATAGAAAATATGTGTACACATACAGATGGAAGGACACCGTCATCACTGGGAGCCCTCCAGAAATCCCAAAATTTTTCTTAAAATCCCCTGTACTGTTATCCAGACACCTCTTTGGAGAGATGCCAAAAATAGTGAATTCCAAAAACAGGGAGTTTCTATTAAGTTGCTGGGTCCAACAAATTCCTGTCAAGACAACAACTGTGTTAAAAAGGAAAAATGGTTTCCCGAAGTTGCTTGTTGTGGTCGAGACTCAGAGTTCGCAGATGGAAAAACTCAAAGACTAAGTAATTGGCAGACAAAACTCACCCACCTATGGAAAGAGATTATGAACATCTTACAAGGACTCCGCTAAATGGGCAGGTTAATGACAGATCCGGAGGGCTGACACAGAGGCTCTTCTGGAGCGTCGCCAGCCCCAGAGCACTAGAGTTACCTGCTCTGTGGGAAGCCCCACGGGGGATCAGACAAGCTCTCATCAACGTCCGCGCTGGCCATAAGACATTGAGGAGTGAAAGGAATACTGGTCTTAGAGGAGTTGGTGTTTAATTGTCTGCTGTGCCATTTACCAGATGTCTAATTTTGGCCAAGTTTGCGCATCACTTTCTTATTTGTAGAGTGGGCATAATACCTACCACAAAGAGGAGTTGTGAGATTAGAGATACTGTATGAAAGAATCCTTTGCAAACCATGAAAACAATGCACTTTCATTAAATGGAGATACTGCACAGTCTCCTGTTATTTTGGAATTTGTTTTACTCAAAATCACTTTTGGCCCCATAAATCTTTTCACACATTGCTGGCCCCAGAATCCCCTTTTTTTGACCGTGTAACCCACGGTAGAGCCTAAATTGATGTTTTCTTTTTTTAGTATATGTGCTGCCGAAGCGAGCACTTGATGTTTTCTTTGAAAACAACTTTAACTTGAGTACCTCTTGCCTATGCGCCACGGGACAGAACAGCCAGTCCACTTAGGAAACAAGCTCTGTCCAGAGTCACTTCCTGCTCAGGCTCACTGTGTGTTCCCTCTTCTAAGGCTGCCCCGCACGAGTTTTCACTCCTTTTCCTGCCGCCTTATGGGCGGACGGGAACGGTGCTGTCTGGTGAGGGTGAGTGGGTGCCTCGTGATGCTGCATTTCCCAGTGAGACACCCAGAGCACTGTGGTTTGGGGTGCTGTAAGTTTTTGTGGGTTCCCTTTCCTTGCCTCTTTTTTTTTTTTTTTAACCCGGCATTTTTAATCTCTTATGTATTACTCACTAATTCATATGTAGGAGTGATCCATTTTCCCCCCTGACTTTGACCCACTATGTCTGAAGGGAGAATCATTCACTACTCCTTTGTGTAGAGGAAAGCAAATTAGTTTCTTCTGAAATATGTTCACAGTGAAGCAATCAGAAGAGGCATCCATTCTCAGTCAATCACAGACTCAGCTGTTCGTGTCCCCGGGGCTCAGGACGACTACTTGTAACTAAGATTTCCAAAAGTACGACACCCCAAGCTTTTTGGTAGACTGCGAGCTTCTTTCGGGAAAAGACCTGTTCCTTAGTCGCCTTGATAACCTCAGGGCTTCACTAAAGGCATCTTCACTCATACTTGCTAACCAGGGTCTCTGGAGCAGGCCGACTACTGTTCGTGGTTTAGTCTAGACGGCACGTGGTGACTGATCTTTCTAGCCTCGGGCATGCCTTTACATTTACAGGGCCCATGAGTTCTCTGCTTTTAGGTGGGCTAATGGTAAAAAATAAAATGTTCCTTGCTCATGCTTTCATGTATACAAGGGGATTTTATAAATTCTTGTCAGAGCTTAGCACACGTTTTAATATTCTCCTTGAGTTTTGGGGCCAGCAAGTTAGTCTCCATAGGAGAAAGGACCCATTTATAGCACGCCTTCTCCTCACCTCTGTCTCAAAATTCTGCGAGGACAGAGCCTGGCAGTGAGGACGGATATTTCCACAATGCAACATCTCTGTTCGGAGCCCTCGTTCCTCAGTTGACTGCTGTCCCCTGGCCCAGCCCCCCCCGGCCCCGGCCCCCCAAAGCCATCAGCCTCCTCCGAGGAGAATTACCCGGGTTACAGCTCTGCTAGACAATGGATAAAAGATGATCTCTCCTTTCTTGGATCAGAAATTGATCAAAAGCAAGGTCACTGGTTTCAATAATGGAATCACTTGAGTTCTATGGAAGACATAGTTTATCTTTGTAAATTCTGAGAAAGAACAGAGGCAAAAATCTCAGAAAGACTAAAAGTTACTAAAATTTTTGACCAAAGGGCTAATTTTTAATTTCATGGGATGGTGACGAACATCTTATTGCTTTGGTCAGTTTTAACTGGATTAAATATACTACAAAGATGAAAATCTATGAAAAAGATGTCCAAATGCCAGCCAATATCCCACTTACTTCAAACCACATTTGGCCCAGCCCCAAGCGATGTGGAGGGGCTCCAGAGCAGGTTCTGGAAATGTCTGCCTCACAGACCCTGCAGCATCTGAAGTTCCTAAGCTCTCATCCACATTAAAGGAGGATATGAAGGCAGCTTTACTTCCTTCCTTAATGGACAGTCCCTCAATCTGGAGAAGGAAGAAACTATGGTTCTAGCAGTGCATTCCACTGACTTCTTGACATTTTGAGGCCATGGCCAAGGCTGAGAGCAGCAGTCTCATTAAACTTCTAGAACTGCAGAATTTCTCAGAATTTCTTATGCTCGGAGTCCCTTCCTGTGCCTTTTCAAGGGGCTCTGAGGCACACCCCAAGTCCAGTCCCGAAACCAAGATGCGGAAACCATTCACCTTGTCAGTGCCAAAAATATATGGAAATCCTCATAATGCTACCTTAAATGCACACAGCATTTATTCTGTAAAGTACAGCTTGAACATTATCTCCGTTCCTCCTCACTACAGCCCTTGGGAGGAAAGCTGTAAATCTCAGTGTCACAGACAAGGACACAGATACAGCTTAGGAGTCAAATAACTGGTCCCAACATCTCAGTCGCAGAGGCCAGGATCAAATCGAGATCTGAGGTCTCTTATGTAAATGCTTTCCCACGCCTTCCTTATCTGAACCTTCCCCGTCAGCTGTGCCCGGAAGATACAAAGCACCGTGTCAGAGGGAGTTTGGAAAACGTACCTGTTGGCAAGCAAATAAGACGGGGCCCGTGGCTAACCCAAGCTTCAGGTCCGCCGACGTTGGTTTGCCCATCTGGTCAGAACATGAGGTGAAGTCTAACACATCATCTATCAGCTAGCAAACGGAAAAAAGGAATGTCAGGAGCATGGCCACCCCGGGCGTCACTGCTGCCCTTCCCACTGTGCCAACGGGCCACGTTCCTAAAAAGCAGACGACCAACCTGAAAGGCGATGCCCACGTTTTTTCCGTATTGATAGGCAATCTCATGTACCACTGGGTCCGGGCATCCTAGGACAGAGACCTGAAGCAGAAAGAGAATTCTGGAATAAGTTGCTGACAACGAGCAGGGCAGCCAGCCGAGGTGGTGGGGCCGTGTTATGCATAGTCAGGAGATCCCGCCATCAGAACGAGACCAGACATGCACAGAATACCTGTGGGTTGTTGTTGTTGTTTTTTAAAGATTTTATTTATTTATTTGAGAGAGAGAGAGAGAGAGAGCCAGCACAAGCAGGGGGAGGGGTAGAGGGAGAAGCAGGCCTCCTGCTGAGCAGGGAGCCCGATGTGGGGCTCTACCCCAGGACCCTGAGACCACGACCTATGCTAAAGGCAGACACTTAACGACTGAGCCACCCAGGCGTCCCAGAATACCTGCGTTTTTAATGAAAGGGTTCCAGCCTCTATCTCAGATTGTTCTCTTAAATTCTAGGGAAGCTACCTGCCACCCCTCCTTTCCCAGGATAAGACCTCTTTTTCGCTGCTTTTAGCACTCAGCAAACCTGGCCTAAATGTTGGCTCTATTTTTATTTTTCTATTGATTTAGCCATTTTTGGGGAATAGATATCTCATCTGCTTAATCACACATGATGTTGCCATATATTTCGCTTGTAGTTCCTTTCTTTTAATAATTTTTGGTGATTTCACTTTTTTCTCAAATGCAGTTATTTTCTGACATGACTGTAACAGCCTCTGCTCTTGCTTCACACAGACACTGTTTTCTCATTAGCAAAGGGTCTTCACTGGTCCTACCGTTTGTTTCTTATGCAAGAAGTAATTAGCTACATAAAAGCCTCCCCCCCTTTTCAGTGGAAGAGAAATAGGACTTCTAAGTCTTTCTAAAACTCAAAAAAACCTAGCCGCCACTCGCCACTTGAATGCATTTCCCACTGCTCTGCTAAGCATGCTAAGCAGGTCCTGCCACATTTCTAGAAAAATAGGCTGGGTAAAAATCAAAAGGGGGGAGCGGGGGGAGCGGCATCGACTTTACTGGAGAGGAAATGTCTATACTGAGTGCACGAAAAAGCCAGATGGCATCAGTGTCCTGCCTGCCGTGGGTCACTGATGATGAAGAACCGGGTCTTCTGCTTTCAGTCCCGGCCTCCGCGGCCCCCTGGCCGGGCGCTCTGCAGTCAGGCCGCTAGGGGCGCACTTACGCCCCTTGCGACACCACGTGATCTCAGTGTATTACTTGGTATTTCTGTGCTTCGGTTTCCCCTTCTGTAAAATGCAGGATGCAAAGCACTTAGCTTGTAGGGTTGCTGTAAGGAATGCATGTCATGCTACTTTTAAACCTCAGCACAGTGCCTGACATCTGGTTATAACACTAGATGTTTGCTATTATTGCTAATAATCCTCCTCCTCCTCATCCCCTGGGCGCAGAAACCGGAGCTGGGCAGTGCCCATGCACCGCGGCTACTGAAAGCCAGATCCCACTATTTGCTCAGCCCTGAGGATGTTTTTGATGACGCAAGGAAGGCTGTGACTGTGTCACGTTTGGCTGCACGCCCTCAGATGACAATGTGCGCGTCGTGAAAGGTCAGGCGGCCACTTCCTTGAGTGAATGATAAACTCAGAACTGCTACAGGGAGGGAGTCCTCTTTCCAACCTAGGAGACCACATGCGACACAATTTAGAAACTTTGGCAAGAGTCAAGATATCCATCAACTTGGCTGAATGAATGAGCAGACGAGATTCGGGGAGCCGGGGAGGTGCTCCGCTCAGAACATGAGGACACCCCCTTTCCTGATGGAAACAACTCCCAGGACACTCCTGTCCACTTAGTTACCTCAACACAAAATAGCACCGAAGTGCCAGCTTCCTTCCTGAAAAGTCAAAGACATTTAAAAACTCCATCCTAGGAGTCATGAATCCCTTAATAAAGCCAATTAGATCTTCAAAAAATAAAAAAATAAAAAAAATAAAAACTCCATTCTATTTCTAAACTCACGGGATTAAAATTTATGGAGTACCTAGGATGAGCACTTTACATTATCTTAGTTAAACCTCACAACGTCCCATAGGCATTTCTTCTGTGGTTGATGGCTGACAAGAGCGAACAATGCCTGAGCACCCAGTAGGCGCAGGTCCTGGTCTGAGGTTTCCCGCGTGTTAACGGACTCATGAGGGAGGCCCGGAGGCCGGAGGCCCGGAGGCCCGGAGGCCCGGAGAGTGCGGACCAGACGTCAGGGGGCTGGGGAATGGCGGAATCAGATTTTGAACCCAAGAGGTCTGACTCCAGAGACCGTTCTCTTAGTCACTTTACTCCGCCGCACGGAAGCCCGAAGAGGTCAAGTAACGTGCCCGAGGACGCACACGGCCGTGCGGTCGGCGCGTACCGGCCACCTTTCGTTCCCACGCGCTAAAGCGGCCAGGAGCTGCTCTTCGTGGGCGCCTCCAGCTTCGCGGGCGGGGACGGGCCATTTCCGCTCCGAGCTCGGCGACCGCGGTGTAAAGGCCAGTCCTCACCGGCTGCAGAGAAGCCTGCTCCCCCAGCTTGCGGACGGGCGGCCTGCGGCTGTCCCTCCCCGGCCCGCAAGGTCACAGGCCCCGCGTCTTTCCGGACGGGGGTGGGGGGGGGGCAGGGAATGGTTAAGGCAGAGAAGGCGGAGCTCGGCGAACCGTTCTGTGGGAATCAGGCCCACGGCCGGGTCGCGTCGTGCCTCTTGTGGGGGAAGGGCCGCACCTCCTGGAACGTTCTCCGGAGCCCTGTCTCGGAAAGGCGGCGGGGGGCTGGGGGGGGGGGTTCCTGATCGCACGGGCAGGCGCCTGGCACTTGGTGTTTCTATCTTTGACGTGCGGGCGTCCACCATGTAAGACGTACGTATATGTATTGTGTCTTACTTATTAAAAAAAAAAACTGGAGATTACTGGAGCTCCATTCTTACGTTACAAATATCAAAACAGGTTGTCAAAAACCAACTAAAAATATTGGGGGAGAACATAGGCAACATAAAATCACAGATCAAGAGCTCGTATTCTTACTATATAAACTATATAAAGAGCTGTTTAAAACTGCGGGGGGTGGGGACCAAACACCTGCTAGAAGGTGGGCAAAAGACGCGGAGGGGCTACAGAGCACGAGATGCTCTCCCTCACATATCCCTAACCGAAGAAAGCAAGGTGCCAAGGGGGAGTAGCGCGTGCTTCTCCTTGTGAGAGAGAAGGGGACCCCCCCCCCCCCCGGGCCTGTGCGTCCGTTCATTTGTGTAACGAGAAAGACAGGAAGGAGGGAGCGGAAACTGAGCCTGGTTCCTCGCGGGGGGGGGGGGGGAGGGCGGGGGGCAGAGGAGGCGGAGCCGAGCGGGGGATAGCTGGGCTGGCGGGCAGCCACCTGCGGTACCGTAATGACTCGCGGAGCTTTGTTATGGTTTCATACACTCGAAACGACAGCAGCCTCCAACCCCAAACACAAAATCCCTAAGAATGGGAGGGAAGCCCTGAAATGGAGTAAAGAAAAAAAAAAACAAAACCTAACCTGTATTTCAAATAATAATGTAACCACACTGAAAAGGGGTGAAAGATAACTTTTGAATACAGATCTTTGATTGTATCATCCTCAGGCTAAAGACAAAAGGAGCTATAAACACATACTGAACTACTAGGGTTGTTTTAACAGAGATAGGAAGTTACCAATTTTTAAGCCCCTATGGTATATATATTCTAGGGGATTGAGCAAATAAATATATTGGGGAGAATGACACCCAAGCTTCTTACTCTTGGGGAAAGGAGTTACAAGTACAGTTGACCCTTGAATACCATGAGAGTCAGGGGTGCTGACACCACCCCCCCATCTCCCCTGCAGTTGAAAATCTAGGTATAACTTTTGACTCCCCGAAAACTTAACTACTAACAGCCTCCTGTTGACCAGAAGTCTCACTGATTAACACATTCGATTAACACATATTTTGTGGTTATATGTATTATATCCTCTATTCTTATAATAAAGCTAGAGAAAAGAAAATATTAGAAAAATCGTAAGGAAGAGAAAGGACTTTCACAGTGCTATACTGTTATTTATTTAAAAAAAATTAAAAAACACAACCCGCACAGAAGGACCTGTGCAATTCAAACCCATGTGGTTCAAAGGTCAACTGTATGGAAAGAAGGAGTGCTAGAATAAATCATGAATCGTGTGGTTACCTCATGGTTTTAAACGCACATAGGTGAGGGGCGCCTGGGTGGCTCAGAACGGACGCACAGGCCCGGGGGTCCCCTTCTCTCTCACAAGCGTCTACCTTCAGCTCAGGTCATGATTCCAGGGTTCTGGGATTGAGCCCCACATGCTTCTCCCTTTCCCTCTGCAACCCCCCATCTCTCTCTGAAATAAATAAAATCTTAAAAATAAAGAACTATATAATTATAAAAATAAATAAACAAACACCACACATAGATGGGATATAAAAAGACCAAGATAGATGCATATCCACATATACACATATTAAAATCTCCTAGCTCTGTCCACTGGGAGGGCCCAGTGATACCTAGGGCAGGATCTTGGTTTCTAAATACCATTCTCCACCAGAAAGAATAGGGCTCCTTGGAGAAATTATGAATCCCAGTGCTGGGAAGGGCAAGATGAGCCCGGAACAACTCCTGCTAGAAATTAAGAAAGTGCGGAAAGAATGAAGGGGGTGGATCAACAAGACACAGGAGCCAGGTTAAAGGGCCTTTCCCATTGGTCAAATACAGGATACTTCAGCATTTAAATAAATAAACATAAAGGGTTATAAGCAATAGAATAAGAATGTAAGAGTCCATATAGATAAGATCGTCCTTAAAATAGAAGATCTACTCTATTGGAGAAGCGTGGTGTAGAAGGAATGACAGAATTCACACAACCGTCATTCACCACCATCATGGTACTAAGTTGAAAGCATCATAAGTAGATGCGAAAACTGGAGAGTCTGGTAAGAAGCAGATTTACATAATCTCAAAATACTTTCCCAGATAGGGAAAAACAGTAACTTTCAAGTGAAGAAACCGGGCAGTCACCACCGCAATCAAGTGATCAAAGTGAACATCACCAGTAAAAGGACATGTGCCCCCGGACACGACGAACCAAGAAGGGGCATCCCTTCTGTTTTCCTGCCCCAAATGCATAACCTGTATCTCAGTGTGCGAAGTAGCAGACAAATCCAACTCGAGAGGCTCAACAACATAACCGGCCTGTGCTCTTCAAAATATTAAGGGAACGTAAGAACCCAGACGGACCGGGGAACTGTTCCAGACGGAGAGACTAAAGATTCACGACTGCTAAATGCAACACGAGAACCTGGATTGGATCCTGAACTGGAAGATTTTTTCTCCCTTTCTTATGACAGTATTATGACAGTTGGCAAAATAGGAATAAGGTCTATCCGCAGATTAGGTAAGACTATCATACCAAAAGTCAGTGTTCTGCAAATACGAGCCACAGAACAAAATCCTGTAGTGGCGCACCGTGGCTTTGAAAATAAAGTAACAGGAAGAGAGCCCATTGATGCCAGGCCCTATGCAGCACTGGAGAGAGGAGAAATTCAGAAAGGAAAAAAAAAAGAAAGAAAACCAAATGAATGCAGGATTACCACGCCCAGTTCTGGGTTCGAATCCCAGCTCAGCCACTGACTGACTAACACTGGATGGGCCACTGGACCTCTCAGATCTCATTCCCATCAGATTTTCTAGGGGAACAAATCATGGCCTTCATTGGGAAGCTCGAATGTATTCTGCCTATGTATACAAATAAATAACACTCATTTAAAAATATTACTACTATTTTCTTATCAGCCACTGTCCTAAAACAATCCTAGATAGCCCTCTCTTAGATTTTATACTATTTCTACTAAAAATCCAAGGAGTGGTTAAGGGGGGGTGGTGGTGTCTTTAACAGAATAAATTATAAGCTGCTCAATATCCTTCAAATTCCTATGACATCTTAAATTCTGATTAGTTATTCCGTAATAATTCTGATGTTTAAATTCTCTGTATTCCCTCTTTTTGGCACTTCTAGTTTGCGTTGCATGAACTTTTGGAGCCCCACATGTCTTTGCATTTTGAATACCAGGAGTATAAAAATAGCCATGTTGAATATGTAACACCTCTGGAATATTTCTACCCATAGGCACTTAAATATAGAATCTTTTATTTAGAACGCTCACACTATGATTTTGCTTTATTATTCTACCAGTTCTGGGGTTTAGGAATAAATCACAGAGAAAGTGGGTCGTTGTGGGATGACGCCAGCATGCCTCCTAGTGGATAGCATAAAGCATTTCATTTTTAAAAAGGGCTGAGCCGTGTTAATATACATGTCTACTGGTGCCTTGCTAATCTGTGAAGAACGAGGTGCAATTTATAAATGAGTACGTGTGCTGTAATAGAACAAATCTGGCTTCCCAAACAGAGAGGACAGGGACCACAATCCAGGCTTTCCTTGGTGCCTCGGGTCCATCTCCTTGGCCCTTTGTAGGGTTTGATCACTGCGGGCATTAGCACCTGCCTGGTTCTCATGGGGCACTGCGGCCCTGTGCCTACGGGATGCCCACTGTGTGTGAACGACTCTCAGCGTGTCCAGTTCCAACAGACCCACCAGCCTGCAGTGCCTCCCGCTGCCGTCTGCAGCTCGTGAGACCATCCGTGAGCTCCACCGAGCACCCGAGCGTGCCATATGAGACTGGCGCTCCATCTTCATGGATGTTTTGACCATCAGAGGTATGATGGTCAACGAAGGGTTCCTGTGACAGCTTTATGGCACCCCCTTTTAAAATCAGCCATTCTTTTATTCAGCATTCTAGCGTCTACCATATTTTCATCCATCTCTCTATTTTAAAAAACCACACCTGTAATTCCTTGGAAATAAAATATCGGCCCTTTCAATAAAGACAAAAATGGCTGAAATCATGGCCAGCACGTTCCACATAATTCACATTTCTTAGAGTTTCCATTACGTCTTTTTAGAAAGAAAATGTCCTCATCCTTTTATGACTCACAATTATCCATTTCTTGACACTTTTCAGAACTGACACACTATTGGCAAGGGGCCTTTCTCACCGGAGAGGCCCGAGGAAAAGCCCTCTTTAACTGCAGTAATATTAAGAGTGCATGAGGGCAACGTACATCTGCCCCTGTGGAGGGCTCCCGCCGTCGCTGCTTCAATCGCAAGGAGCTAGTGCTTGCCCAGGACTCGTCTCTGCCACGTTGGTTAGGCTGACAGCCGGTCAGATGAGCAATGCTATGGAGAGAACCAGCTCTCGTTTAGGGGCTAGCACTGAATACCACATGTTGTAGTCTACAGACTCAGGAGAATACGGACTTTAAAAAAAAAGAAGAGCGGAGGGAAGGCCAGGGAGAGAAAGCAAGGGAGAGAAAAAGTTATGGTTCACACTTGATTTATATCCGAAGAAAAATGGCTTGGGTTTTTTTTTTTTTTTCTTTTGGGGCTTGAACTCATGACCCTTAGCTGAGATCAAGAGTTGGACGCTTAACCCACTGAGCCACCTGGGTGCCCTGAAAAATGGCTCGTTTATGTATCATGTAAAAAGACTGGGAGCATCTACTACTCATAAGAAAGAACACTAGGACACTCTAATCGGCATTTTCTCCTGGGCAAACAGTGTATTTAAGAACACAGCACTTTGCCACTTTTTCAGGGTAAAATGTCAGAAATGGTATATGGGACAACAATCGTGAAAGAAATTATTTATGAGAAGTTGTTGCAAACATCACACAGTTTGGAGATCAGACCCAGTGCAGAGGGCTTATTTTGATTCTGCTCTTGGGAGGAAAGATGAAAAGTGAATGTCCGCCTAGCAAAAGAAGACCGCAAAAATGGACCCCACAGCAAAAGCTCTCCGTTGTTTGGGGATGTCATTCTTTTCTCAATGACCTCAAGGGATTTTGGTTACTATTTTAAGGTTCTCCAGTAAAATGTTCCCCAGGAACAGTAGTTCCCAAGAAAGAGCCAAGAGACTTTTTTTTTTTTTTAACTTGAACAAAGACAGAACGTACATACTGCTTTACAACTGTTGGCTATCAGACTGGCAGTCTTCTTGAAGGTCTTCTCAAGGTAGTGTGCAAATCTTTCGTTCTCGTTTTCTTTTGACCCTAGCTGAAGAAATTCACCTAGAAAGAAAGAAAGGGGTCATTTGCGATATGGCTTGATCGCCTGGCTAGTTAGACGGGGACTGAATAAAAAAGAAGAAAAGTCAGAATTAACCTACCGCGCACCAAATCTTCAATAACTTGGGTTAAAATAGATATCACAGTTGTATTTCCAATTCGTGCCAGAGCTATAGATGCCGCAGAAAGAATTAAATCACCAGCAAGAACAGCCTAGAAAAGAAGAAAAGAAACTTTTGGAGAAAAGTATCAGCGCAGTGGAGCCCACAGTGGAGCTGGCTCCTCAGAGGAGACATTAGGGATGGGAGCGAGGGGTCATCTTGGCCCCAAGTCTTCCCCCGCCTCGTCCTCAGCAGGAGTCCGTGCAATAATCAGTTACAGATTCGGAACATCGCTGGCACTGGATCGGTTCCCAGAGATTACCCATCTTTCTCCCGGGTTCAGAGCAGAGCAAGTGAAGGCCTGGAGACTGACGGCGTCGCACGCTCTCGCTTCCTGCCTGAACCTGCCAGAGTCCAGCGGCCCCTGGGTCGGACGTGCTGGAACACTCGCGCTTGCCTTAAGCCACGCGGTTGTGCCTCTGCACTCACTGTGTCTCTTACTCAGAAAGTCCTTCCCCTTCTTCGCTGGGCAGACATGGCTGCACAGTTAGCTCGGGTGACACTTCCAGGAAGTCCACCGGGATCCCTCAGTCTGCAGATGCCTCTCCTCTGTGCGCGGCACCCCGGGCATGCTGTTGTCGTCACCCACCGATGCCCTCTTCACTGAACTCCCTGACGGCACGAGCTGGGGGTCATCTCGGCTGGCGCTCGGCACAGCCCAGCACCTGGCACAACGCGTGCTTTTCTCAGTGAAAAGCAAACCTGGGCATCCTGGCTCCAAGTTCAGTGCTCTTTGTGCTGTACACCCTGCCCCTCGTTCCTAGACAAAATTTTCTGTAGTGAACACTAGATAATCGATATTTTTCCAATCTTCTTTAGATTGGGAGTAGATGCCCATACTGTACTTACAGCTTGTTATAAATTATATATAACTGAACTATACCCTGTAATCAAATATACCCATTTGCATATTTAAAGACATGCTTGAGTTTTATTAGTAGTATAATTATAAATTATAAATGCTAGATTCCATAGAAATTATAATTCATAGTTTTCAACATCACATTTTAACTTTGTCTTTTCACTAGTATCTAAAATTAGTGTTCAGTATGTTTACCTATTAAGCATTTTATATAACATATTGTACAAATTATCTTGACATAAACATAAATAAACATTTATAGAGTCATTGTACCCATGATGATATATATGGATCCCTCATCTACCCCTCCATCATTAGCACCCCTCCATCACGAGCACCCCTCCATCACTAGGGCTCTGGATCTCTAGGCCTTTGTGTCTTTCCTCTCCTGGCCCCAGGGATCCCAGAGGCCAAAAGGTTCCAGCGAATGAAGATGAAGCCACCAGACGGGGCTGGAACCCGGGCAAAGTACCGAGGGCTCCTGGAGGAGGTGTTGTGTGAATGGATTTTTATTGGAAACACAAGTACTTCCTGGTGAGAGGCGGGGGTGGGGTGGGGGCAGGGGGCAGGAGGAGGCTGGCAGGTGGGCTGCCCCGGCAGACCAGTCTCAGGCTGAAAGAGGCCTCCGAACAAAAGGCCTGCATGTCTTCCTGCTCATTCGCTCAGTGCTGTTCCCGTGGCTTTAAATCCCATGATTTAAATATCTTTAGGCAAAATCCCTGTTTCCCCTTCAAGAGATGCTAATAAAATACTGGGGAAATATGCTTTAAAATACACAAGTATGAACCAAACCCAATTATAGAGCCTGTATTTAAAAATGTATAATTTTCACAGTATATGCATGTGTATATTTTTTACGTATCTATATTTAAGATACACACACACATATGTCTTAGCTTCACTTGTTTCCTTGCCATGATACTCTTGCACATGGCAGTCAATAAATGGTTAAAGAATTAAACTGAACCTGAGTAATCTGAGCCCCAAAGTAAAATGTATGGTTCCTCACAAAAATATGCTTTTTGGGTAACAAAAATCCCTCTCCCTATAACCAAAAGGAATTCTATATAAAACTCTGAATAACCAGAAATACGAAGCTTATTTTTCTGTGGTTTCCTCTATTATCACATGTATGTACACAGACGTGAATACTATTTTGGAAGTTGGAAGGCCGCGTCTGAGGAAGCACATTTTACTTTTTAATGAGACAAATCTGAAAAGTAAATGCAATCCAAAGAGCGTGTGAATGGCTAAGAAGATGAAAAGGAAACAAAAACACCGTACCTTCTGTTCACCCCAGATCTTATTAACTGTGTGTTTTCCTCGCCGAGAACTCGCGTCGTCAATGACGTCATCGTGCACCAGACTAGCAGTGTGGATCATTTCTGCAATCAAGGCTATGGAGCGCTGGCTTGCTTGCACGTCTCTAATTAACAGAAAGCAATGCTTTTTAACAGAGACGCCGCCTATAACCTTCTCAGCAATCATCTTGTGCAAACTGGACATCCGATCTAGGATAAAGAATTTTATTTCTCTAAGAGAAACTGTATAAACACTTTGGCTTCCCTACAGAGCCATTTCTATCATTTGGAGAACATTTTAAAAATGCGTGAGATACCTGGCCAAGATCCTGCTGTACGCACAGCACATTCAGAATTTGTAGGACTGACAACAAAAAAGGCTAAAATGGCCCAGAAGTCTGGCCATCAGGCTGAAGAATCGACTCTATGCCCTGTAATTATGATCTTGGGCATCTTGGGCAGTTGGTCTAAGTCAGGTTAGGAGTTGGTTTCAGGGGAGCATGGGGGAGACAGGTTAAGGAGCAATGTGGAAAAGTGTACTGAAGAACCAACAGTCACTGTGTTTAAAGCTTTTAACGTTGTGTTAAATGAAATGTTTAGGAAGAAGAAGACCTCAAGAACCAAGATAGAATTTTGGCCAAAACTGTCTTCCAATCCATGTTTAACCTTTGCATTAGAAATCAAAACTTGGGCGCCTGGGTGGCTCAGTCGTTAAGCGTCTGCCTTTGGCTCAGGTCATGATCCCAGGGTCCTGGGATCGAGCCCCGCATCGGGCTCCCTGCTCCGTGGGAAGCCTGCTTCTCCCTCTCCCACTCCCCCTGCTTGTGTTCCCTCTCTCGCCGTGTCTGTCAGATAAATAAATAAAATCTTAAAAAAAAAAAAAAGAAGAAGAAAAAAAAAAGAAATTGAAACTTCTTGGGGCACCTGGGTGGCTCAGTCGGTTCAGTGTCTTCCTTCGGCTCATGATCCTGGGGTCCTGGGACCAAGCCCCACACTGGGCTCCTTACTCAGCGGGGAGCCTGCTTCTCCCTCTGCCTGTCCTTGCGCTCACTCTCTCTGACAAATAAATAAATAAAATCTTAAAAAAAAAGAAACTGAAGCTTCTCTTTTCAGCTATAATACAATATTCGGGATAAGCACTCTTAAGAAGATACATGGGTGTCAGGTTTACGGCTTTTAAAAGAAAATGTGCCCCAGTTCCTTTTTAATCATCATCATTATCACCATCATCATCTATGGGCATTTTTATTTTTTTTAAAGATTTTATTTATTCGACAGAGAGAGAGAGGGAACACAAGCAGGGGGAGTGGGAGAGGGAGAAGCAGGCCTCCTGCCGAGCAGGGAGCCCGATGCAGGGCTCAATCCCAGGACCCCGGGATCATGACCTGAGCCGAAGGTAGATGCTTAACGACTCAGCCACCCAGGCGCCCCTCTATGGGCATTTTTAAAAACTGAATTTGGAGAAAATCAAATTGGGGAAATAACCAATGGAATTTTCTCACCCGAATACACAGGCCTGACTTAAACAAACACATGCCCACCAAATGTTTCACTTATTCCAATGGCTTACTTTTCAAATATCATCACGCTATGTCTTAGAGGGGAGAAAGTCGGAGGGATGTTGAAATAGGACTTTTTCTTAAAAAAAAAAAAAATCTAGTCTGAACGTCTGCAAAAGATAGTGCTCATTCTAATTCCTCACATCTTGCAGAAAGCAATGAAAAATGAAGTGCAAGTACATAAAAGACGCTGGTATTTAACTAGACACTAAATCAGCCTGGAGAATGTCTTCTGATCTTGCTTTAAATATAATTTTAAAATACGGTGCTTTGCCGGCAACTTTGCTCCACTAAGATTTCAGAATGAAACCTCAGAACCTTCCAACTGCTTTCGGCCCAGAAATCACTTGTGAAATGCTGCCCATTATTTATTAATCTGTCACAATTGTGACAGTTCTAAATCCTTCCAGATCACACCACGTTCTTCCGAGGCGGGAGAAGTAAAGCAGTAGACAGCAGGGACGAATTCTAACGCCATGCCAGGGAATGAGAAGATGAACGCTCCCAGGGCTTCTACGAGGGCTTCTGAAGCCCTCGGTGAGACACTCACAGACCCCACACCAGGAGGCTTGGACCTCAAATATCTTTCAGGTGAATGTGTTGGACCCTATCTTACTTGAGCTCAAACGCACAGGAAAATGTAGACGCTTACAGGCGTTTCATATAAAGGCTACCATTCAGGATATCTTCTCAACGGCGTTTTGGTCTAATACACACTGCCTAGTGGTGAGTAGCAGAACTTACCTTAAAGCAGCTGTGAGGGCCCCTAACAGTTCTCATGCTTTCCTAACAGGGGGCCCCCACCTCCATTATCACTAATACGTCAGCAAACAGGGGCTCTTGCCCGGAGGTTGCCGGGAAATGGCAGCACTCACTGAGACACTGGAGTTTTTATGATTTGAGGATATTAGAACAAAGACAAAAATTTCTTCAAGTATTTTGAAATTTCAGAGACCAGATGTACACAGAAAGGCCATCTGACATGGCCAAATTACTGACTGGTGCAATCGGGACTCTTGCTCAGCACATTACTTGGCACCGTGACACAGCCCCTATGTGGGATAAACATCGCCTTTTAGATGCCTTCTAACTGTATCTGATGTCCTTCTTCCCACACAACTAAGCTTTAATGTGTGTCGCCTTCTATTGGGAAAAACTGCCACTGCTTTTCCACAGCACAGCGTAATGGCTGGAACCAAAATTTACGTATTACAGAACACTCTCACGCTGTCTTTAAGATGAGATCTCCAAAGTGCCAAACTGAGTCCTGCCTTCAAAAAGCTGGGCACCATTTCCACTTCCTACTGGGAGAGCTGACACACTTTCCTGGCTCCTGCCAGAGGTGCTAAGAAAAGCCAGACTAGCAAGACAGCATGAGAAACGGAGGCCCTTGGCTTGAAAGTTGGCTGTGTCCCCTGTACTTCACACCTGCACGAATCTGGGATGATTCGGCAGCCCCAGGACATTTGTTTCTTCCCCTTCGTTAGACTTACCACAAAATTTTTATAATGGAGTATTTCAAGCACAGACAAAAATAGGTGGAACAAGATAATGACACGCCCCACCCCCATGTACTCTTTACCCAGCTGACATGCAATGTAAGTAAAATGCTGGTTTTCCCCCTTATACACACTAACACATAATGTGAAGTCTTTTTTTTTTTTAAGATTTTATTTATTTTATTAATTTTTAGGGGTCGAGCAAGGGGAGCAGAGGGAGAGGAAGAGGGAGAGAAGCAGACTCCCCGCTGAGTGGGGAGCCTGACAACCTGGGGCTCAACCCTACGACCCTGAGATCCTGACCTGAGCCGAAATCGAGTCAGATGCTTAACCGACTGAGTCACCCAGGCGCCCCTACATAATGTGAAGTCTTAAATTACACGTAAAACCCCCCAGCGTGGGAAAATTGTCTCTAAACAGAAATTCAAACCTTGTCAATAGATTACTTGGGTTTGGAACAAACGAGGGAAGCAAATTTAAATAGTAAATGTGGCTTCACTTTAACAGCAGAGACACAGAAGTTTCTATTCTCAAATCTATAGAGGTTGTGTAAAGAACAGAACTCTCAAGTGGTATACAGAAGGCTCTATTTATATTTCAAAATGTTCTTTTTGTCTCTTCTAACAATTCTAAAAATAAGTGTTTCACTTTGTTTGTTAGGACTTTGACAAGCTCAGTGTTTCTTAGACATATATTCCTTGTCCATCATGTCAGAATCTGATGACGGGGCCCAGGAATCTGCATTTGTAAAAAGCATGCCAGGTGATTCTGATGCACAAAGTTTGGGAAATGCCGTTCTTTCAAGTGGCAGTATTCATCTGATTTACCCTAACCCACAAACGGGAGCTTTCCTCCAGAAGGGTTTTGGTACCGACTCAGCCTTTGCTGATCCACTGCTGCACCGCCTCTAAATCGTGGGCAAATGAAACAAGACGGCACCCTCCTACTCTGAACATAACCTGAACCCTGGCAGGGCCCGTTCAAAGGTCTTACGGTATTGACACCCCAAGTCTCTTTGCAGCCCAGGAGCAGAATGGCTCACCTGCTCACCTGTACAATCTTGGGAGGGTGACCTCTCTTCCCTTTTACACTCTGCATCCTTATGTGTTTTAAAGGACATGACTGAACACTTTATCAGTGTGGTACTGAAGAAACTCCCTACTTAAAATGCAACTAAAGTCCTTCTCTTTCTCCATCAAATGCTTCAGGATGTAAACCACATTTCCTAGTTGTCACCTGATAAAAGTACACACATTCAACTTTTCAGTATGGTGAACAATAGATCCATCTGGACACAAATCAGATTTTATCTTTACCCGTCACTGAACAACTGACTTGCTGCAAGTTGGGGTCCTTCACCTATTGAGACTGTGGAGTGTGTTCTGCTTGGCCCTCTGGCCTGCTCCGGTCAGCGCTGCTCGCCACAGAAGAGGCCCCTCCAGGGGGAGAGAGAGAAGCCGTCCAGGCCCCTCCCCCCGCTGACGTGATACAATGTAACGTAGTTTCTCGTAGTTTCTCGTGGCTGCGGTGACACATTACCACAGACTCGGTGGTTTAAATCAGCAGAAACTCTCTCACGCAGTTCTGGCGGCAGGAACTCCAAACGGTTCCACCGAGCTGAAATGAAGGTGTCGGCAAAGCTGTGCTCCGCCCAGAGGGGCAGCCCTCCGTCCCTTCCAGCCGTGGGCAGCTGTCTGCAGGCTTTGGCCTCTGGCCACCGGACTCCAACCTTTAAGACCGGCATCTTCCATATCTCTCTGCTCCACCTTCGCACCTTCACGCTGCCTGCTCTTCTGTATGCGCCAACCTCCCTCTACCCCCCTCTTAGAGGGAGACGTGGGGCTGCATTTAAGGCTCAAGCGATCATCCAGGATCATCTCCCCATTCCGAGAGCCTTTACTTCCATCACTTCTGCAAAGACCCTTTTGTGCTATATAACATCACACAGGCTCCAAGGATGAGGATGTGGATGCCTTGGGTGGGGCCGTTCTTCAGCCTAATGGTTTCTTACCTTCACTAGCCTCTTGCTGGGGCTCAAATGTTTCCTTATCAGTGATCCAATTCTTG